CAAATGTTCTTGCATTCTGCGAGTATAGCAGCTAGGCAGAGCCAAGACTCACTTATACTGGTTGAGCATTTTTAGATATTTCATATCAGCCCAGCCAGGTTGAGATCGCCTCACCGGCCCTGCAGTTGCTGGTCAAGTGGATGGTGATCCCTCCTCAATCAAATTCTGGCAGTGAAGGCCCGTGTCCAACATCTCGGCAATTCATTGGAAAGGATGTTGCAGGAGAAGACCATGATGGCCACAGCGGCCGCATCAACCATGTCCCAACTTGAAGGGCCCATGGATGAGCTGGAGGAAGCGCTCTTAACCTCCCACCGGCCATGAGTCAGCTAGTAGTTATTGCACCAGTAATATTATGTATTATACCGGAAATATGAATAGTATTGCCTAATGTGATTTGGTCAGTATGTATATGAGCCATCGGTCTCTGATGTTTGTTGTTCCCCAGTCGTGACTGCAGTTCCGGCCGACTGTGCATTGTATACCATGTGCATTGCTAGTGAGTTTGTGACACAGCTGTTTGATTGCAATGTAGCTGGCAACACACAGTCAATCTTGCCTCCCTTGACAATTGATGTGCCAACCATGCTTGCTTGTCAGCATCTGGCCCGGTGTAGAGACTCGCGTTTCTGCATGCACATATGGGCTCATTTTACGAATTCTGACAACTGGCCTTCATGGCACGACTCGCATAATCATCCACTATGACTTCCACCATGGAGCGCACCACTTCCTGCAAAACGCGCCATAGGCGCACTACTTTCCCGCACAACGCGCAGTATTCCCACATGCGCGCCTTGCACGCTTTCTCGCGCTTAAGCACACTGCATCACACATCATGCAGGAGCATCCATCCATCGTCCAACCAGTCCCTTGGTATGTCCCTTTTCATTATCTGACCATATTTGGCATATTACACTTCCCATTTCGTCATGGACCCTTACTTTACATCACTTTACCTCACTTACATACTTAGAGTGCTCCCTATTCGGCTCCGAGCCCTGGGAGAGCGCTTAGGTAGAACTTACATACTTTCATGTTCGTTTTACACCCAACTAACCCACCTTACCTTCCTACCACTCAGTATCTATCACCAGTTAGTTCCATGCAATGCATGTGTCCATCATCATCTTGAGGCCCTAGCATCAGTCTATAGCTAGTGGCACTGTCAGTATCCGTCTAGATCTGCGCTTTTCCTCATATCAGTCTCAGTATATATCTTTTACACCTGTGCACCACTTGCACTACCTTCCCGTGCTCCACACACTTTCGCACTTCGCTTTCCCGTGCGCGCCCTGCAGCGCATTTCTCGCACTTCCACCACTATTCTCCAGGGTTGTTCAGCATCATTCCGTGGATCCTTGCTTTCCTTGCTTCCCCTTTAGGGTCGAACGTTCTTGCATTCTGCGAGTATAGCAGCTAGGCAGAGCTGAGACTCACTTATACTGGCTGAGCACTTTTCTTATATGTGCCTGCCAGGTTGTGATACCCACACCGGTGTCATGCATGGTATGGAGTTCATACCATGACATATACGAATAGCAGTGTAAAAGGAGATGAGTAGAGGAGTGTACAAAGGATATACTTCTCACTTATGTAAGCTTTGTTTCTATTTATTTAGTTGTATTTGTAGTTTCTGTCTCTTTCCATTTGTTCATGTTTATTCAGCCACTTGATTACATTAGTGAGCCATTCAGATATGTTTGTAAGCATGTCATGTGACTGGTAATATTCTGATTTGTAAGGACTTTCCATGACTCATCATGCTTTGTCATGCTTTGTAATATTTTACTCATGTACTTTAGTAAGCAGCTGATTCAGCACACCAAAAGGCTTGGTTTGTAAGCATAATCTTACCAATCCAGTGATGACTCATTGCTTAGTAAGGATGGTTTCTAAAATGTATATAAGGACTCCATTCTCACATAATATATTAAGTTTCTCCCCTTCCATTCTTTTCCCAAACTGTGTAGGAACGTAGGAATTTGAAGTTAGGAGTTTTTCCACTTTCTGTCTCAACACTGTGAGATCATGAAGAAAGTGAAGGCCTACGAGTTGCCTTTGAAAACAATCATAATCACTTAGTCTAGGTTGATTGTATACTATCTTACAGGGATCACCTATACAATAATCTATCATTTTATCCATCATCTTACATATTCAAGTCACATTCAAGTTCAGAGAGGTCCATATTACCTACTAGGTTTCAGTTAACCTGACAAAATATATTATACTCCTTTACTACCAAGAAGTGATCTAGCAAAGAAGTAATTTATTACCCTTTGGCCACCCACGAACACCACATTATCAACCGAGAAGTAGAAAATCCGTTGACCATGAACTTGAGGAGCTGGACACCTTAGTCTTCAAGAGTACAATTGTGATAGTCATTGTATTCTGTTCAACATATAAGACCCTCAAGTAAGAAGACACTGGGTGCTCGCCGATGCCTATTCAAACCCAAGTAGGCCATTCCTACCATTCACTCAGTCGTTGCCTGACCCATTTCAGTCCAACTTGATCTTGATATGATTAGGTACAATGAAGCTCTCCATAAACGCTCTAACGGGATGGTTGCAACACATAAAGATTCCCTGCTGAAAAAATTTCCTCATGGGCCAGAACATTTGCTGGAGAAGCCCTCGGTCATTTTGGACTTGGCCAGTCATATTATCTTGTGGTACCTTCCAGATGCCATTAGCCCGTGGATTCAAGTGAGCTGATTTATTATGACCCATCGGCCAACTGATTCACTGACCTAACAGGCTGAGATGGAAGACACTACAATTGATATAGGGTCCCTTCTGATGAAAAGCATGACCAGTGGTCTGGACACCCAGTGGAGAACATTCCCTGGTAATTTTCATGCCAGCGACCAATGTCAATTGACCCCAGGATGTATCAATTTAGCCCCTTGTTGGTTCATGCAAGGCTGGTGTAGAGACTCACATTTCTGCAGGCTGTTATGGGCCCATATTATGAATTCTGACGACTGGCCTTTACTGCACGACTCGCACCATCATCCACTATGACTTCCACCATGGAGTGCACCACTTCCCGTGAAACGCGCCATAGGTGCGACACTTTCCCGCACAACGCGCTGTATTCCTGCATGTGCGCTTTCTCACGCTTAAGCGCACTACATCACACAGCATCCAGGAGCATCCATCCATCGTCCAACCAGTTCCTTGGTATGTCCCTTTCATTATCTGACTATATTTGGCATATTACACTTTCTATTTCATCATGGACCCTTCCTTTACATCACTTACATACTTAGAGTGCTCCCTATTCGGCTCTGAGCCCTGGGAAAGCGCTTAGGTAGAACTTACATACTCTCATGTTCATTTTACACCCCACTTTTCCACCTTAGCTTCCTAACACATCTTTCTACCACCATGTACTTGGCAGTTAGTTCCATGCAATGCATGTATCAGTCATCGTCTTGAGGCCCTAGCATCAGTCTATAGCTAGTGGCACTATCAGTATCTGTCTAGATCCGCGCTTTTCCTCTTATCAGTCTCAGTATATGTCTTCTACACTTGTGCACCACTTGCACTACCTTCCCGCGCTTCGCGCACTTTCACACTTCGCTTTCCCACGCGCGCCTTCAGCACACCTTCACCACCATTCACCAGGGTTGATCAGTATCATTCTGTGGATCCTTGCTTTCCTTGCTTCCCCTTTAGGGTTGAACGTTCTTGCATTCTGCGAGTATAGCAGCTAGGCAGAGCTGAGACTCACTTATACTGGCTGAGCACTTTCCTTATATGTGCCTGCCAGGTTGTGATACCCACACCGGTGTCATGCATGGTATGCAACTCATACCATGACAGATACACAAGAGGTGTGATAAGGAAGGTATAATAGACCCTACTGTATCCTATCACCAAGTTACCCCATCATTTTCCCCTTAGTTATTAGCTAGTATTTTCACTTTCAAACTTCACTTCCATTTTTCCATGGATTTCTATTTTGTTCTATGACATTCCATCTCTTTCTATTTTCCTCAGGCATATTCAGCCAACAGACTTTCTTTTCAGCCACCAAGCATGTTTGTAAGCATGTCATGTGACTGGTAGATATCATGATTTGTCATGATTGTCATGATTTGTCATGCTTTGTAAGATTCCTAACTGTATTTATAAGCTACTTAGTAAGAAGGCTGATTCAGCACACCAAATGGCATTGTTAGTAAGCACATCCTTACCAATCCATGTGATGACTCATGCCATGATTCATCATGCTTTGTAAACTACACTGTATTTATAATGTAAATTAGTAAACAGGCTGACTCAACACACCAAATGGCATTGTTAGTAAGCACATTCTTATCAATCCATGTGATGATTCATGCTTTGTAATCAGGGCCTCCAAAAGGTATATAAGGAGCCCAATTTTGCCATGTAATAAATGGAGCACTTCCCACCTTCACTCATCTCAAACAGTGAGATTAAGTAAGAACCTAAGTACAGGCAAATCATTAGCCTCAAAGTAAGACTAAGAAACATTTATTCAATTATATACTACCTTACAGGGTTGATTATATAATCTATCAGCTATTCTAACTAAGTTTAACCCATACTATTTTCCTCTCTCTTTTACAGGAAGGGAGACATGATTCACGCTACACAATACACGAGCACGCTAACTCTCAGACACAATTCATACTGTAGACTCAGTATACAGAATCAAATTGTTTTAAACTAACCAAGGAACAAGGAAAGAAGGTATATTGAAATAAATCCTCCCAAGAACTCACACATTATCTACCACGAAAACTAGAAAAGTCGTAGACCGTGTACTTAAGGACTGGCAATAAGTCTTATCCTATATAGTTGTGTTGTCACTATATAAGTGGCGTACATAAGACCCTTAAGTAAGAGGACACCAGGAGGTCAGTCTGCTTCTCCACCAGAATGCTAATGCTTATGTAGAAATTTTAGCCACACAGATTACCACCAGCCAATGGATTCACCCCCAAGGTGTTGGCCACCCTGAAAGGGAAAGGTGGTCCCAAGATTATAATACCTATGCAGCGCACAGCACTACTGGCCTCGGCTGCTCTTAGGGTGATGCATCCAAAGTTGTATTGGGCGTCAGTCACTACACATATAAAACTTGCCCGATGGGCAGTAGAATGTGGCCTCAGTGATATGAGCACTTGCCTGCAATTTTGGGCCTCGGTGTTTAATTGTGCAGCTGTAATTTGCAACAGACAATGTCCTCTTCACCGAGACCCAAGTTCTACTTCCGAAGGGTTTGATGTCATGAGCAGTGTCGGCCATTATTGTAACAGGCTCATGACATTATCTAACCTCGGTATTCAGTTGCAATATAACTCGGGCACTATGGTCGGCTGCTCTGGCCACTTTGTCAGGCATGGTGTCACATACACTGGTGATTGCATTGTGTAGGCTTGGTTCATCTGTGACAGCCTTCAGAATTTTGTGGGGAACACCTCGGTCATCATACGCAACTTACATGGATGTAGATTAAGATGTTTCTGTCTTGGCTTACATAACGCAGTGATAGTATGATAATAACTGATGGTTTTATTTGGCAACCGACTGACTGGTCCACCCTATAGCATCATGTATTCAGTTACATATTGGCCCATATGATAACATCAGTTCTGTCAGCTGACCTGATAACATCAGGTATTCAGTATTCTTGGCCCATATGATAATGTCAGGTATGCAGTTTCATCGGCCGACCTGATGGCATCAGGTATACCTTTATGTTGGCCCATACAACAACATCATGTATTCAGTTTTGTCGGCCCATAAGTTTGCATCAGTACCATCAGCTGACATAATGGTGTCAGCGATTTACAAGGAAATACATACATGATGCCCTCATGTCAGCCAAAAGACCTGATACCATCATGTCGGCTGAGTATACTGGATGCCTGATATTATCATATGGGCCGACAAAACAAATACTTGATGCCATCATATCAGCTGATAGACCTGATACTATCATGTTGGCCAAATATACTAAATGCCTGATATTACCATATGGGCCGATGGAAATGAATTCCTGATACCATCAAGTTGGCTGATGGTACTGATGAAAATGTATGGGCTGATGAAACTGAATGCCTGATGTTATTGTATGGGCCGATGGAAATGAATTCCTGATGCCATCAGGTCGGCCAATGGCACTAATGAAAATGTATGGGCTGACGAAACTGAATACCTGATGTTATCTTATGAGCCGACAGAAAGGTATACCTGATGCAACTGCCTGATGTTATCACATGGGCCGAGAATACTGAATACCTGATGCTATAAGATCAGCTGATGAAACTGATGTGAACGTATGGGCCAACAAAACTGCATATCTGATGCAATCACATCAGCCAAGAACATGAACAGGTATTCATGTCTCTCGGCCCATATGATGGCATCATACCCACAATTGCCAGACCAATCTACACAGGAACATATATGCTTCACCCCCGTCATCAGCCGATCGGCACACACAGTAGCTATAGTGTGTGGGCCCAGCTGACAATATCACACCACCAATTTTACTGGCCCTCAGCCAACATGTTGATATTGAGCATCCCAATGCATGGGCCCAGCTGTTAAAACCATCACTCAATGAGCTCACTGGCCGAATGTTAAACACAGACATAGATATTTGGTCGGCCGACATCCGCTGACCTGTGTGGAACAGCATATTTTCAACATTTGCTGCCAACCTTTGCCTCAACATTTGCTGCATGTATAATACATGCAATGTGACTGAATGGGCTCTGTCGTTCTCGTGTCTTGCATCTCGTGTCTCGTGTCTCGTGTCTCGTGTCTCATGTCTCGTGCTTGCATATTGTTCTTGTACGTTTTACAACTCATCATACATATGTTTACATGCTTCCTGAGCCTATATGTGGTTACATGCTTGCTCCTATGTTTTCTACCTATTGCCAATACATTTGCCTTGTCAGTTCAACAAATAGTCCATCAACTTTGCATGAACTTGGTGGCCAGGAGTACCTTGATATGAGGTATCTTTAGGACCCACCCCATCTACATCATGGTCTATGTCCACTGCAGGTACATGGGCTTGAAGGGCTGATTCTTCAGTTGTGCTCTTGATCCCACAGTGCTCTTCAAACCAAATCACCATGTTGTGAAGGATGAGGCAGCACTGGACCCAGTAAGAAATATATGTAAGGTGTTTGTCATGCTGCAATGGGTGTCAAAGCTCTTGAAGAGACTGAAAGCGATTTTTCAGAGCAGCAAATGCATGCCCCACCTGGACACAAACCTAAATCACCAAAAATAAATGGACACAAGGAAAAATAAAATAACGCACATACTTTGGAAAGGGCAGTGTTAAATGCCTTCTGGTCACTGGTTAAAGCCCCATTGACAGGCTTCTTGAAAGGGGGGGATGCGCCATGGCTCTAATGGGTAGGCACTATCTGCCCAGATCCAATGGTGATCTGCAAGAAGTGTTGCATGATGATGATAAATATGAGTAGACCGGAATGCATATGCATCATGTGCACTGCCAGTGTGACCAATAGCATAATCTGCTATAGCAAGATTGTGGATCATAATAACCACCTAAAAGAATTTAAATTACAGAAAGAGCTGTAAAATAAAATAAAATAAAATACCTGGCAGTTGAGGGAGTACTAGGACTTCCTACTATAAAAAGTCTCACCATAGAGACCTGGCTTGTCACAAAGGTTTATCAAGGATCCATAAGCAGCTAGGTGTTACAGTCTACGTACGCCCCTATTCATTTTCTCTTCTTACCTTGTATTATGCCACGATCGCTATCATAGCCATCGCTAGACTCGTCTCTTATCTTCAACTGTATTACATCACGATCGCATCATGCCATCGCTAGGTGATCTATTCTTGGTATCTCTGACTCGTTCTTATCTCTGACTTGTTCTGACTTCATCGTACCGGCCCTAAAGCAGTTATCAGTTCATTATATAAACTCATGTTGTACTATGTAGTTCTTTACTTTAATCTTACTAGGTTTTACCTGGAACTTCCTTCACTTAAGACTTCCAATCTTAAGTCGTCTGAAACTGATTCAAGTTAAGGACACTCTCCTTGCCTTGTCTTACGAACTCTTGTATACGCAAGAGTCTTGACTCGACCTTAGCCAAATACTCTTATCGAGTAGCTATTGTCAGAACTATCCTAGTTCGTAACAAAAGATTAAAGTCCCCTTCGAACCTCTCCACCATGAGAGGCCCAGATTTTTAATCAGCAAAGACGACCACTTGGGTCAGAAAGTATTGGTGGGAACGCAATCCTAACGAACCCGATTCCCCAGAAGAGTATCACGAGGCCACTGGTCCGGATACAGAAGATAACAGAGAGAGACGCACACCATCCCCTGTAGAAGAACCAGACAACAGAGAGAGACGCACACCATCCCCTGTAACCACAGAACCAGATAACCAATCCTCGACTTCATCCTGACGAATTCCCAGTAGAACAATCCACCCCCGAAACCTAACAGCCAACCCTAGTTTCAGGATGTTCGACCACTACCTCCTCCGAACTGAAAGCAGGTGCACCTACGCACTACAACGGAAGCCCTGACCAGGCTCTAAGATGGTTATATTCAGTAAAAGCATACTTCACCGTTAACGCTTCAATCTACAACTCCGATGAAAAGAAAGTTGTTACCGCGCTTGCTTACATGACTGAAGGAAGCGCAGGAGGATGGGCTACAACATTTTACGCGGAAGCCAATACCGACCCTGTCCCGAAGTATGGAACCTTCGTCGAATTTGAGAAGAACTTCAAAGAAGCATTTTCTCCAGCCGACGCTAAGGTAGTCGCCATAAACAAGTTAAGAACCCTGAAACAAGGGAATGACCTCACTTCCTATATCGCTGATTTCAAAGCACTAGCATCACTAGCCAGCATCAAGGAATCTCAAGTCCTGATTGCATTTTTCAACGACGGATTGAAAGGAGGACTCATAAACTCTATATGCCAAATGGAAACCATTCCCGATTCTTTCGACAAATACGTATCCGCAGCCATCCGGCTAGATAGTAACTGGCAACGAGGCATGGCCATGCGCAACAACCGCTGTAATATCACTAAACCATCCAGACAACACTACATACCGAAACCATCCTTTAACTGAAACCATGATCCAAACAGCTATGGAAGTAGACCGCCTGAATGAAGAAGAACGCAACGAATACTTCAGGAAGGGGAAGTGTTTCACTTGCAGTCAGGTTGGACATATCGCCCACAAATGCCCTGACAAGAAGACAGGAAAGACTCTGATACGTCGCAAAGAAGTAGAAAGCGATGATGAAGAAGAAGAAGAAGCGGAAGTCCGTCGTCTCAATGAGGATTTTTGATATGGAGACTGGATCAATGTCAGTATCTTCCAATGTACCTATAAGACTTGTACGAAAGGTTGGAGAACTGAAAGGAACTTCGTGTTCCCATTTCCCTCATCTCGAAAACTTGTCTCAAAACCGTTGAAACCACCGCAGTCATAGACTCCGGTGTGACAATCATACCAGCACTAGGCGCATATGAGTGTCATAGGCACATTTTGCCTTACCTTGAGGAAAGGAGTAAAACACTAGTCACCAGCGCTATTCAGCTCCCAAGCTATCCGCTTTGGAACCACTTTTCTCCCATAGCGCGCTGCCCGGCCCGACGCCTAGGTATTCCGTCCTCCCATGTCCTGCCTATGTCCACCTACCTCCGCTGGTGCGTTATTTTTCCTTAAATGTCACTACTCATCAGTTGCAGGTCTTATTACATGCATCCTTCGTGTTCCGCTGCGCTGCATGTCTTATTACCTGTCGCTACATCATGCCTTCATCAGTGTCGCTACTATTCTCGCCTACGCATTCGCGAACTTTTACGCAGTATGATAAAATGACCCGTCACACATACAGTACAGTACTTCCCTTCCCCGGACCTTTGCTGGTGTCAGAGTCACTTTAGTCGCTATATCCTGGATTTGGTGCAATCGATTCTGCTCTTGCCAATCTTTCTGATTGCATGTCACTTGACTTGCTTTGAGTGCGCGTTGCTAAAGTCCCCTCATAAGTTTGATTTTCGCAACATCGGGATCGCTATCGGTAGTCGAGCTATAATCTAGTCGCTATCGGGCATTCCACTTGCACTATCATACCTTATTCCTCGCTTTCCCTTCTTTTGATTTCTTCTCGCTGTCGCTAGTCGGACATCGCATAGGACAACTTGCATAGGTGCTACTTACTTATACGCACATTTCTCTGTCGGAACTCACTTGTCAGCTAGTCACTGATCGCTACAGCGCTACTCATTGGTTTTTGGTCTTAGGTCGCTATAGGTTATTAGCCCTTTGCATCATTGCTACCCTTGCATATTTGAAGGGAGTTGCTTCAATAGCAGTCCTCTTGGGT